TAACGTTAAAGTTAAAGGTAAAAGGTAAACGTAAAGTTAAGTTAACGTTACGTACGTTACGTTACTTAACTTAACTTAAGTTACTTATAGTTAGTTGTTACGTACTAACAACTACTCTCTCTCTCTCTCTCTCTCTCTCTCTCTCTCTCTCTCTCTCTCTCTCTCTAGTATTGTGCTTCAAAGTCTTTTGTTACAAAAGATTAAATAAATAAAGAGGGTCTATAGAATACTTCTATGGGAGCATATTGTGCATTTACTCCCTTGGGTAAAAGAGTTATGTAAGATGATGCATTCTACTTGAAACCACTTGAATCACCGACAAGTAATCGGAAAACATAAAATTTGAATTGAGCTCCTAATCACATAGATGTCAAATTCCAAAAAAACTGCACATGATTTTGGAGCTTATTCTCTTATCGAGCATGTATACTATGCTCCCTCAGGACTCGATCAAAAGACCTACTTGGGGGGATATTTTGAATTTGAAATTTTGGGAACCACTTAAGAATTACAGGATGATTATTTTCTAATTTGTTTTTTGAAATTTCAGTTAACACTTAGATCTCACCATATAAAAGTTAGATGGTCCCTATTCAAATCTTCAAACATTATTTTTTTCAACTACATAAAGGGCACAATTAAGAAATTTCTTTTATTGAGTTTAATCAATGGATTGAAGAGGTCGCAACCCCAAAATTTGAGATCCTAAAATCAGTTCTAGGTAGGCTTTTACCCAAAGGATTTAATCGGCATTCTACTCTCATGGGAGTATAATATCTTTTGGCTTCTCTTCAAGTGCATAAGGGGTTTTTGAACAAATAAAATTTAAATTTTGAGTTCTTAATCACTTAGATGTAACCATCTAGAGCATACATGGTCTCTTTTTTCTAAAAAATCTCCCATTTGTTTGCAATTTCTTTAATTTTCCTGAAACAATACTTAATGAGCTACTCAAAAAATGATATCTTTTTTGTGACAAACTTTTATAAGTTATTCTTGTGGGATGGCAATTATGGAATATTTAAAAAAAGGGAGTCATTGAATATTTTATTATTTCCATGAACTATTCAACCACAAGATTCACCATGACCATAAAATAATATGTTTTCACAAAAATATTTAATAAATGTTTTACAATATCCATGAACTTTTCAACCACAAGATTAACCACGACCATAAAATAATATGCTTACACAAGACTATTTTATGCACATGATCACTAAATTGATTTACATAAAAGAACATCCAATTTTCAAATCCACCTACAAAGGAATTGTGCTGCAAAATTTCTCTTTTTTCTAAATTTGGCCCAAATTTACTAAATTTCTTTATATTTTCCCCTCGTTATATTTTGGATTTTCATTTCCAGATCTTAAAATAACATTATTTAAAGGATACAATTCTATATGGCCTAGGCTTTATTAAAACAAAGTAAAACCTCACCTTTAAATCATTGTCCAAAAAGCACTTTGAGAATCAGAAATCCAAATGATGGCTCTAAAATCAATTTTTAACATTGACTATGAAATTTGAAGCTAAAAAAAGGTACGGATCTTGCAGGTCCGTTAACACTTATTTTTAAGGTTAAATGGACAGTCTAGATAGTGTTACATTTTACACTATTTTTAGGGCTTGAAATCCTAATTCTTTCCACAATTATAATGATCAAGGCTGAAATGATCGATTTGAGGGTTCTTTGACGCCAAAACTACAACTTTCGGTAAATTTTGACGTGAGGCTTTACTTATCCTAATAGGGCGATATCACTATCAAACCATTTTCCATATTTAAAACTAGTTCTTGTTTTTTCATTAAATATTCATATTTGAAACTGATCCTAGGTTAGCTAGAGACTAAGGGCATGTTGGATTTTTGTTTTTAAATTATTAGGCTTGTTGGCTATTCTATTTTTAAAAAAGGACATGGTTTCTATGCGACCAGCCTGCATATGGTAGAAATGCGGGTTTGGCAATAAATATATTTTTTAAATATAATTTCATCCTAATTGTTGACGAATATATAACCTTTAACATAGAGATCATGAATATGAAAAAAAAGTTTTTTTTTTGAAAACTAGAAATAATAGTTATATTAAGAAAACATTTGGACCGTTTATTACATTTGTTTTTAGATAGACCACCTATTTGCATCCATCTTTAAGATGGGTGCTTTATAAAGATAGATGCTTTATACCTCTGGACTGCATAATGTAGAAATGTGGTCCAGCCCGCATGAAACAATTGTCCTTAAAAAAATATCCATTTATTGAGAACTGTTAACATTGTATTACTAAGAAAGTAAAAGTTTACAAGAGGAGTGGAGCTGAAAGCACCCTTGCAGGGTGACAATCACTAAAAAAAATACATTAGTCATCCATGGTAAGATAGGCTTATAAGAACACCCATTTTACAAGATATACAGTCAGATATACAAAATAACGAACGAAGTTGTCACATGCTCGTAAGAAGTGGGCTAAGTAGTACGGCTAAGGTCCTGAACAAAAAAAGAGTTAGACCTAGCCTGGTTGTCAATATTGAAGCTAGCTCCCTCCTTCGCCAGAAGATCTACGAGAGTGTTGGACGTCCGCCAAGTAGGCCTCCTCCATGTTTTAAAAAAATATCGATTTATTAAAGAACATTTTCTTACAATTACCTATTCCTCCCCCATGTTGTATATATGTACTTACTTTGATTGCTCGATCTCCAAACTGCCACCTCTGAGATGTTTTCTAGTGCTAAAATCTTCAAAAACGCCCTCTAATAGGCCTAAAAAACTCTGAAACTAAATTTAATCTCAATGGGTGATGTTTGGATCCATTTCACGTAACTTTGAGAAAACCTTCGATCTAATGAAAATCATAAAATCTAGTTTTTTGGAGGTTTCTCTCTCTCTAAAATGGGCTCTAATGGGTTTAGGTTTCAAATGAACCTAAAACCCAACTTTAAAAAAATTAAAAAAAAAATCAAAAAATGCCCCTCAACAAGGGGCATTTCCACCCCTAGGCGGGGCGCAGGACAAGGGCGGCCACCCAGTGCTGGGCGCTGAGCGACCCGCCTAGGAGGGTTCTCAGATGCCTAGGCGGCCACGAAGGGCCAGGCCACCTATTTGGGCCGCCTATGCCTGGGCGAGGCGGTCACGCTCTCTAGACCGCCTAAGCACTAGGCGGTCCGCTTTTTAAAACAATGAACCCAACAAAACCCATGACCCCCAGTCTCATGCAAGGGTTCATGAATGGCTCGTCAAAGCTAGTTAATAAATAATGGAACCAAATTCCCAAACTATGGATTACAATTCCCCCTTAAGAGCAAGTCAAGAACATATCACTATAGTGCATGGAGGATTCTCTCTATGGACATGTATACGTATCCATTTATGGTTGCTTCCTAGTAATGCGACTATTATATGTATATGTCATGCGAAAGTTTATTGAGAATTTAGCCCTCCCTCAAACATGCCTACATGTGCACACAAGAGACCACACAACTCTCTTGGCCTACAAACTATCCCTTGGCATCTCTCCGACCTCAACAAGGGATGGCCGTCTACAAACCTTTTTATGTAGTGCCACATGCCCAGGGGTAAAGGATTTGGACATGACTAGGGTCATAAACCGCTCAACCCTTGGTCAGTCAAACAATACACACTTCCAATGAAGTGTATAATCCACTATAAATGTCTTTTATATGCTCTCAAGGCCTTTAAACGAAACAAACCCCAGCACTTTCTTAGATGGGTTCTTGACTGCCTCAGGTTTTATGTCATGCTTATGTTGAAAATTATTTATATTCTTTTTTTCAATTTTCTTTTTTAGCCTTATATTTTAAATATTTTAATATGTTGCAGAAAAAACACAAACTCTTCCTTCAAATCAGCCAAAGTGCTAAAGCGCTGCCCTTTTCAGGCCAAACCAAAGAAGCCTCTATGAATATGATAATATCGGTTGAGATCAGCGTTAGCTAATTAAGGTGAGTTGACCTGAACTCACACAAGTTCCTCGGGCTTGGCAAGGAGCCAATTGGTAACCCCAGAGTTCACATGGAGACCAAAATAAAAAGGGGGTCCCCCCCCCCCCCCCCTTTACTCAACATTTCTTATAAATCATGCAGCAAATCCAGCTCAACTTTGCATAAACTGCTTTTTGCATAAAACAATCAATGAAACATCATATTTGACAAGAATCATCACTTTTTACATAGATATTGAAGATTTCAAATTAGGTTTCATGCAATTTTGAAAAGTTGTGATTCTTTACAACGATTGGTCAATGTCAATCTTGGATGAAATTTTCATGTTCTTCATCCAATCATAGGATTGTTTCCCACAAAAGAATACTATAAATCTCAGATTTGTGAGTCTTAATTTCATATTCATTTTCAAGAGCTCATATCAGCTTGATCTGAACTCAAAACCCAAATCTAGTTAGGGGATTTGATTGGGGTTGTCTAAGGAAGCATTGAAGGATTTTTTCAATTTAAATGTACATAAACTATCTTTTACATAGAGTTTTTGTTTTCTTTTCATGATGTTTCACAGAGTTTTCCAATTTTCTAGAGTTTTCCGGGCTCTTCAGGGGGAAAACTCAGGCAAATCAACTAGGACTCGCCCAAGCAGCTCAAACCACCCAAAGTTAGAGCCCTGGTTGCAAGTCACATTCTCAAAAATTAGTTGAGAATGAAGGGAGGCATCCGATTTTTGGGACAACAATGTAGATGGCCAGGTGAGATGGGTTTGTTTAGGGGTCTGTTAAATTTAGAAGCATGTGACATGTATAACACTTGTTTGGGATAGTGTTCATTAGTGACAAATTTATGTTGTACAAGAAAAAATGACTTTTACAGGAATTATTGCCCATACTAATTTTGTACGAAGTAGAATGTTAACAATAAAAAATAAAATAAAATAAAATAAAAGGGGATTTTAAACTAATAAAAATATTTCGGCTTAGATTTCCACACATACACATGCAGGAATAAACAATTCATGTATTCTATACAGATAATAAAATAAAAAACAAAAACACAAAAAACAAAACTGACTTGATATGGCTTGTTGAACGCATTTTCGATAATCAACAAACATGGCAGGCAGGAAATGATCCTTAAGAAAGTTCTCAACAAATGCTTGCAAACCATCATTCCTGTAATGCAGAGAAACGAAATAAGTAGCAGCACCAAGTTAAAATCCAAAACAGTAGGACCAGCGACCATGACTTGTAATTTCAACTACATATCCATTATAAATTACTAAACCGGCAAACACAATTTCCAACATAGCCATCAGCAACAAAAATGAACAAGGATAAAAAAATTTGAACATGACCTGAGCTTTGATTGTGACCCCAATGACAAGTATTGACATGAGAAAATTCCCTCATTTCCCTTTACAATATAATCAGCCTTCTTAAGCTTATTAATCATTTCACGAAAAGAAATAAACTACCATTTTGTGACAAATACTGATCTAGAATACACCATCAAGGGTATACGTAAACCTCGGCATTCCATGAGAATTCTGAAAATTCATTTTCTTGGAATTACCTTGGAAAATCTCAACCCTTTAACCTAAGGCATCTAGACTGGAGCAGGCACCATATCAAATGATAAACATTCATTCACAACCTCTAGTTTAATAATGTAGATGTCAGGCACAATTCATGTTACCAACAAATTCAGCTCTGGAATAAAAATTTTAATGTAATAAAGTTCCCAACAAATTTGAAAATTTCAGCCGTGGTTCTTGTGAATGCTCTCCAATTAAAACAAAAAAACACATAGGACCTCAACATTTGATGAACAAAAGGCTTCTAAAAAATCCATTAATAGTTGATTAACAAAAACAATAATGCCCATTCAGGGGGAACCACTACTTACGCTTAGTGCTGTTTCCAAAGTAGAATACAAATTGAGCACTTTCAACCTCAGTTTGGACCGCTCCATCCTACCCATGCTTAGGTCCCGTTTCTAACCCCACTCATTTAGACAATGCCATAATAAAAGTAATTAAAATGTTGGTAATGTCAAAAAAAATAAAAATTTGAACAATAAAAACATAAAAAACAAAAGCATGTTCATCCTCAATCATTTTTTCTTCTTGATATTTTTTTCCTCAATTCTTTATTATCAACATGAATGCATACTAAATAATGAATGAGCAGCACGTTCAACAAAACCTAAATTTCTTTCTATTGCAATGGAACATCATCATCATCATCATCATCATTCAAGCCTCATCCCAAGTATTTGGGATCGGCTACAGGAATCCTGATCCATCATTCAAATAATTCAAACAAATCAAGACTTCTTAATCTAGAACACCACTAGTGCGTCACCACCTTGCAAATATCATACTAAACCCCTACTTAATAAAGGTAGAAGGCATGATAGATATTGCAAGATCATACAACTAAAGCTGGAAATTTGAATCCAAACCACAATGCACATAATGTGCATAATGATACATTCACTCATCAGTAACCTACGAAGATTGTCATAAATAAATTCCAGGATGATAGGAAGACATCTTGAAAGATGCACAAAGAGGCGGTGAAGAATATTCACCAGTTGAAAGTGATCATGGAATCATTAGAATGGTATTTAAGGTATGCAAGCTAGTTGATTCTACTTCTAAGATGTGATTGAAAACACATTGCTTTCCAGAAAACATTGAAGGGGCTCCCCATTTATATCAATGCTCCTCATCCCCTACTTACCATCTCTAGCCAGCCAAAACCACTAACAAACAGTTGTTTCTCTGTCACAAGGACATGAGAAAATTGCAAATATACAAGAGATGTCAATAAAGTGGATACCGAACAATGAAAGAGACAAATGTGGTAAAGAACCGGGAAAACCATTCGCTGGAAAACTTGAGTAATAGGATCAGAGTGAAAGCTTTAGACCAATTGTTGGAAATCAGGCCCATGTCTGTGGTATGGTTGGGGAGGTGATGAAATTAAATAATGGCATTACCTATTGTTTTGTTTGCCTGTCATTCCAGCATCACGATGATAGGAGAACCAATTCATTACAACAAGTTTTTGTTTTTCCATGGAGACAGAGTAATAACGTTTTTAAAAAAATTGAAAACATAACTATCAAAAAGGAATACTGGACAATTTCGTCTATTGGGAATTTATCATTTGTCAGAATATACTTTTTATTATGAAGTTCACTAGCAATAGTCGTACAAGATATATTCGTAGAGCAACATCCATTTTATTTTACCAAATCTGCCAAAAACAACAAGAATATCCTTATAATTCCAAGACTCTACTAATTATCCCAACTAAAACCAACAGGGATAGACACTAAGAACATCGCAAGAGTTATTATGTTGACAATTGTATCCAAAAGGGAAACTAATCAAATTATATAATTGTTATTTCATGCCAATAATGAGCATAGAAGGATGAACTCTCATTTAATGTGTCATGTTCCTTGTTTTCAAAAAGTTGAGTCAGTGTCATTCTACTCATCTTCTAACTATAGAAATGCAAAGAGTAAACCATGCGAGGAGAAAAGCAAAGATCACGACAACCAGGGTTTACAGATAAGCACGACAAAGTGAAAACTCACGAGGTTAACTTAGAATGGATGATAACTGAGGTAAAATGATGAGCCAAAAACCAAAAACACCAAAATGGGAAAAACCAATTCAAATATACCAAACATGCTAGAAGTAATGAAAAAAATAGCATAAGTATGTACATAAACCTAGACATGAAGCTCACAATTATCAAATACTCCTAAAACATAAGTCATAGAAAGCATACCCTAGCTGAGAATACTTGGGGGGCAGCATTGATGCAACTTTATCAGTAAACTGCAGAAATCATATATACCAATAAAAAATAAGCACATACAATTCTAAATGAGCTTATTAACAGATTAAATATATATATATATATATATATATATAAATATAATTTAATAAATGCAATATGCAAATATAACCTGGAGAACGGGTCGATAGAGCGAAGCCACAAGATAAATTCCTTGCTCATTAAGTACGGCAGTAGTCCCATATCCCTCTTGCAGTGTAGTTGGATTCCTCCTACCCCACCCTTGGCGGATACCATCAACTCCTAAATTATGGAAAAACAATTGAGCAATCCTACAACTAAGCATAGAAAAGCATATGTACATTGAAACATTCAAACTTATACGGACATGCACGCATGTGCCCGCAGACACACACATAACAGACATGCATGCATGCGCAGACACACGTAAATATATATGTGTGCCTCAATGCAGATTCAAACGTGAAATCTTAAGAATATTTTATACAATCGTAAGTCCATAATCATTCATAATAACTTGTGCTACTTTTCTCACAGGCAGGATGCGAGGCATGTGCCTACATCCCAACCTGTATATAGGAAGTTATATATTGTAAATTATATATATACATAGGCAAATATGTATGTGCAAGTATATATATATAGGAAAATGGTGAGATTAGCTCAGTAGCTCATATGAACATATGAGTGTATTCTTCTCATCAAGGCACACAGGGATAGTATATATA